CAAGTTTTCACGTGTATTGAAAACAAAACAAAAAAAAAAGTCAGCATATCCCTAAGCTAATTTTTAATAAATTTCAATAAATTAGGCACCAGGTTTTAAAACTTGTCAACTGAACAGACCTCCCCCTCCTCCCCAACCTCCGAAACTCGGGGCAAGGAAGGGGCAAAGTGCCTGAAAATGTTGGGTCCTTGTGCTCAGCTCTGTGCCCCGGTGAAAATGCCCAGGAAAAGGGGCTTGTACCTTGAGGAAAATTAAGGAATTAGATTGGAAGCCAAGTGTGGGAGCAGAGAAGGCTGGGGTGTCCTTTCCATCGCGACCAGAGGGTTGGCCGTGAGCTCGCACACCACTGCCCAACGTGCTCCTGGTTCCACTTTAAACACCCACATGTCCCTCCATGGCACAGACCACAGATGCTCGTGGCCAAGGACACAAGGAAGCCCACACCTAGAACTCAGACTTGTAGGGAGCGGAGGCAGCCACAGTGCCCAGCTTGCATTGCAGCGAGGTGTGGGGACAGTCCCTGCCCCAGGAGATCAGGGGGCATTTGAGGCTCTGAAGGCCCCCCCCACCCTCGAGCATGGATGCCAACCCAATTAGCTGATGGACGTGGCAACGCGTCAGAACATGTGCTCCAGACTGGCTTGCTTTTCCCATAAGTGATTCAGGAACCCCGTCGGGCCCAGTGCTCGATTCTGTCAGAGTGAAGAAAGTCACCATGTGGATGCCCCATACAAACAAGAAGAAAAGGACATCCCCATGCCTCTGAACCAGCAATGCTGGGTAGCCGTGCTTCCACAAGCACGCAAGAGCCACACACATCATCCGTAGAGTATGCCCAGCACCCCAGATCCAGAAACTCCAGAACCTTCCCCAGTGACCTCATCGGTCGCGGTTTCCCAGACACACAACCCAAGGAAGGAAAGATGGAATTCGTAACAAAGGTCCAAGAGAGCAGCAACATCTTACAAGAACTCCGTTTTGCCAAACCGGGCGATTTCCGTCCTGACTGTACTCTTTGGCCAAGGTTTCAGAAAAAGGAAAAGCATCCTGGGGCTGACGCCTCCTCGCGAAGTGGGCCCGGCAGAGACGGGTGGATATGGGAACCAGCCCGCGGCTCACCCCGTGCGCCCGCGGGAACCCTCTGTAGGTCTGACAAACCCAATAGTCTGCCTACAGCCGCGTCAACACGCAACCCTGCCCAACGTGCTTTCCAGGTGACATTTCCCGCTGTGACCAAGGCGCTGTTGGGATGTCCCACGAATGACTTTGAAAGGGATCCTGGTTTGAGCAGAAAACAGCAACAACAGCCCAGAGGCATCCGTTTCATGCGTGTCATTTTTCTGACGCCCTGTCCCAGTTCTGCACCACGTGCACGCCCCCGGGTGATGCCACGGCCCCGGGGTGACGGCCCGGCGCACCTAGACCCACACGAGGATTAGGTGACCCCCGTCCAGCACGTCCTGGGTGCCACCAGCACAACCGGAACTGGAAGCTGCAGACCCCATGTCTTGTGCTCACGTGGAGGGAGTTTTCTGGGGCGGAGGGAGTGGTCTGTGAAGAGTGTATTTAGGCAAAAATTTTGTAAGCTTTTTCAAACAAACAAGAAAATACGGACGCACACGCTTTACCTGGAACCTTCACCAAGTGTTACATTTTCGGATGAATGGCACTAGCTTTAAAAGGCTGGAAATGCGCTGTTTGCATGGAAAGGAAAATTCAAGCTTTGTAGGACCTCCTGTTTTGTTTTTCTGTTTTTTTTATTCACAGCTGTTTGAAAGCAAAACTGCGCACATTTCAGCCAAACTCTACGTCGCCGTGAATGTCTGACACAAAAAGTTGCGAGTGATTTAAAAATACTGACCTTGCTTTCTCTGTCTTGCTCTGTCATTTTAGAGCTTTACTAAAATTTCAGGGGGGGGGAAAGTCGGAGGGGCCTTTCGGTTCCTATAAAGAATTTCAGATGTTAGAAATGAGACGCGTCCAAACGCGTCTGCATCTCAGCCCCGTGGAAAGGTAGAAAATGTTTCCTTGCCCGGAAGGAAACGTTTTCTGTCTCGTGAAGAAAATATACCAAATTTCGGGGATAAGGAAAGACAGCCGCCAAGGCCAAATCCGGAAAGAGCGAAACGTCTTTTGGACACAGAATGAACGCGTGCAGCTCATGAAACGCTGGCTGGACGGCCGGGTAGGGGTTGGCACACTGATGGAGAAAGCCGCTTCCTTCTGGGCAGCCCTCGGCGACTAAGGCAAAAACACAGGCGTCTCTCCGAGGTAGACAAGCCCAGCCCTGGTGCGTGGCCCCCGGAGCCCACGCAGTGCCCGCAAAGCGCCTCGCCTGGAACTCAGGTGCATCTCTGGGGACCCCGAACCCTGTGGCTACACCATTTCAAGCGACTTTCCTATCCCATGCCACCTGCTCAACTAAGTCGCCGTGTG